TATATTCGATACTTGTGGCGTTTGATTATGCCTTGTGCTTGAGTTCGCGTCACTATGCTAGAACTCGCACCCCTTGCGATCCAATTCGCACCCTTTACGTTACTACTTGTATTCACCTTTTCCAACCTTTTCAAACCACTTTCCAAACTATTTTCCAATGCAAGTCAAATTCTTGATCCAACGCCAAACTATTTTCCCAAATAAAAACCAAACCATTTCAAACTATTTTTTATAACCATGAATCAAATGCTTGATACAACGTCAAGTTTCTTTTCTCAAGCAAATGAAAAATAAATAACCATTAATAACTTTGACTTATTTCATAAAATGGAAGGAAAAAACTACCTGGTACCTGAGTGTAAAGTCCAGTCATAGACTCGAGTATTAGACTCAAGTTGTAAAAGCTTGCAAGTCATAAATACTTTACTTCCAACTCAAAAAGACATTCAACAAATCAAACTCTTTTCTCGCCGTCGTTCGATCATTAAACTCTTTTTCAAACAAAAGATATTTCGTTTCGAGATGATGAAAAACAACGCTTAGTCCACTTATATGTGTGAGTAAGCTAGTGATCTTTTCTCGCGAATGTTGACATGACTATCCATTCACTCGTGATGCAAACATTTCCTTCTCCACTATTTTGGAAAAGAAGCAACATTTTTCTGTCAATTGTGACAAAATGACTTTCGCTAAAATCGACCAACAAACAAACATGTTCTACCCAGAACTACGTAGCCTTTAGTTCTCCATCGCACCCGGAGATACGTAGGAGCGAGATTCAAAGTCTCGTCGGGCATCCTAATAAAAACTTCACCTTTTAGTCATATTACTTCTTTTCTTTTAATAACTCGAGAAGCCAAATATTTCAAAAGCTAACACTAACGCGAACAACTAACTAAACGGTTCCCGTTGAGTACAACGTACGTGAGAGATGCTCATAACTTCCCCTTACATAATCGACTTCCGAAACCTGATTTGTTTGTGATGACCATATCTTAGTCGTTCTTTTAGGGGTTTTATCGATGTTTTTCTTTTCCCTCTTTAAAAATAAATAAAATTCGGTGACAACTCTGTTAGTTATTTTCGCGAGCATGCAACGTACGTCACAATTTCATATTCTTTTTTTTTAGGTACGACACATGAGTGTCAAAATTTTAGCGCCTGAATGTTATTTAAATCCGAACCCATAAACATGCCTACCGTATTTTCTAACAATTCACTTTAAACACATCACATATACATTACTTATAAATACAATGTTTAATTCAAATGGTTTAGTCTAAAAAATATTATGATTTCTAAATTGTATCGTATTTATATATAAATCCTAAACTTGTCCATTTTTATTGTTTCATTGAGAATATTTTTATTAAAATAATTGACAGGTAAATTGTTTGAGGGTAAAAAATTACCAAAATATCCTTTTAACTAAAAAAGTTAGATTGTAATAATAAAATCAAATAATTCAAAAATTTTAAAAAGTTATGTTAAATTTCTAATTTGTGTGAAATTTCCTAAATATTCATAAGTATAAATGTTTTTTTTTTTTTGCATTTTATTCGTTTCTACCGATTTTTTTTTAATATATAAATCATGAAACATTTGGTGTACATGCATTAAATGCACTAGTTTATATTGAATATATTAAAAAATATGATTGAAATGTTGGATTTATACTGATATTTTAAAAATATCCAGTAATTATAGAGGTGACATCAGATTTTTGTAAATATTTCATAGGACGTTATTTATAACTAATTGATTTATTTTGTTTTAATGAGACGAAGTGGGAGAATTATCACCATATATAATGAACGATATATCTGTTGACTGTTAGGAATGTTAATGAAAGATTTAGCAGAGATGTCATAGATGGTGTTTATGGTTATTTGTGCATTAGGGATGGTAGAGTAGCTCCTACAGGTTCTCATTGCAGGAGGACTGAAGAAACTCGTAGACGACGTACTTTCAACCGTAAAGGAAGTAAAGCTAGACACTCCATAGACGGTGATGAGGAGGCACATATTGATGTGCCTAGTCATGTTGAGCCAAAGGCGCGTGCGGAGGTGGATCATGATAATCAGGAAGGTGAGGGGTTCTGAAGACGACCCTTCAACCTTATGTTGCTGACAGGGGTATGTTGATCATGTTTTCTTTAAATTATGGCAGAGAAAGGTATAAATATATTAATTTAAGTTCATTAATTTTATGTTTAAGTGGTTATTTGAAAGTAACTAATGATTTATACTTTAATTGTTACAAGACCACGTCCCATTGTAGGTACTCATGGTATGAGGTTGAAGAAATTCTTGGCGTTGCAGATTCCAGAGGAGGTTAAAACTATGGTAGATGATGGTAACTTCTTGGCGTTGTAGATTCTAGAGGAGGTTAAAATTGTGGTAGAAGATGGTAACTTATTATCGTTGGTGGATTGTTTGCTCATGATGCCTGACACTCCATTTTTAGTTGCTTTTGTTGAGCGATAGCATAATAAGACATCTGCACTTCATATTCCATTTGGTAAGATGGCGATTACCATGACAAATCCTCAAACCTATACCATTTTCCACGTGCAGGTAACTTTTTCACCCTTCCATTGATGACCTTTAAGCTTGCAACTATGAGTGTAACAACATACTTGGAGGTTACACTAGGGATGACATCAAAGGAGTTTAGGTTTAACAAGGGTGTTCGTTTTCGTCTCTCTTTGCTTTATGAGATTTATGTGTCATTAGTGGAGTAATCCAAGTGTTTCTCATACTGAAACACCCTATTGAATACACAACTATTCCATAGTTCTATCAAATGATTTTGTCTACTAACCACAAGAAACTCCCTGCACTTTGCACCAAAATTTTTAACAACATGAAAAACACATAAGAGGTGGACTGAGGATTGGAAACCAACTTCGTTGTCATTCATCAGAGAATATCTCAATCAGTCACCATGACCTCGAGAAATAACTATTTTTTGTGAATATCTCTTTCAGCTTCTCCTGTGCCCATGTGAAATTTGTCTCCCTTTCATATTTCAAGTAAGCAAACCCAAAAGAGAATGTCAACTCGGCTGACGTAACACCAATAATCAAAAGTACTGGTAGCCTATACCTATTGGTTGTATATGTGCAATCAAAGATCAAAACCAAATGAAATATATTCAAAAGCTTCACTAAATCATAATTTGTTAAGAACATATCACCCACAACATCCGAGCCTCTTATATTTTCGGTCCAAAACAAATATTAATGATTTGAAATTAACAAATGTTGCATTTCTGTTAATGAACCTCTAATAATAGAGTGGTATATTTGTCTTGCTCTATACAATTTATCATTATTTGTCAGATTCTCAAAATTTCTATCTTTCAATGCACCCATCATGTACCCTAGCGTCATGTTGTACTTTGTCATGTTGTTCACAAGCTGCATTTTTTCGGGTCTTAGACGACATAATATGCCATGACCGTCTAAATCTTTAACAACATAGTAATTGTGAATTTCAAATCTAACCTTTATATTCCAACCACAACCACAACCACTTGAGACATATCTCAATCGAGAGGAGCACGAAATCCTTCTACTACAAGTAACTTTCGACTTTCCTTTATTCTTGTAATTTCATCCCCCCACACAATGAAGAATCAATTTATCGTTCCAACTTTTTTTCTTTTACCATTTTGATGTACCAGAACGAATGACAACTACAATACTACTGTGTTGTCTCTTAATATATTGTGTCCATGATAACATTTCTTCCCGAGAGAAAAATATCTATCAATTATAGAATAAAATAAATTACTCATAGATTTTATAATTCAATTAAAATTTCAAAAGGTCAGATAAAAAATGTAAGTAAAAGATACTAAATTAGTGGTGAAGAATTGTGTAATTTTTTTTAAAGCTCCATCCATCTCATATTCATTCAATTAATACACTTTAACACAAGATTTTAAGCCACTAAATACATTGATACAAACAAAATATCCTTTACATTGTATTTATAAAAAAGGACAAAATATCTGATATACCAAACTTTACAAATCCAGGGGAGAATTTTGCACAAAATTTATGTAAATTTTAGATATAGATACAAAATTATATAGAAGATTTTTATATCCCAATAAAAATCTAGTACAAAATGAAACATTTTCTTTTTCAATTTAACGTATTTCTACTCCGACAGTTACTTATAACTATTGAATTTTTTATTTTTAAGTGAAAATTTTAAAGTATTTGTTTTTGTTAAAAATGTAAAAATTTGAAAATGTAAATTATGAGAGAGTGATTATTGACTTTAGGGATGACATGATTAATTTGAGGGGTGCCATGTTGAATTCTCTAAAGTGGATATACGACAAGTATTTGAGGCCCTATAAAACACAACCTGGCCCAATCTCCCTATGCTTACCTACTTGGTTTATGTAGACACTTCTAGAAAACAATGGCATTATCAGCATAAAATACACTGAAAATTGGAAAGAAAAATATCAACTAATGATCATAGAAGAAAACACAAAAAACTAAATAGAATTTCGAAACTAATAGTGTTTTCTGAAGCACAGAGAACCAAAAAATCTCCTAACTATATTTTTAGTTTTTTTTTTTTTCCGTGTTGATTACAATTGTTTAAGTAATTACCTAATTATTATTATGCCAATAAAACTCTAAATACCTTAATTACCCTAATTGGTCTATTTAAGTTTTAGGAACTATGTGCAACTGCAACTCACTAGAAATTAAGTCAAGAATTATAAGGTTAATTATCTAAATAATCAGATATTAATAATATCACACAATATCAGAATTATCCTAAATAATAATTGTATAATATTATATATCCATTTTCGAAACTTTTGAAGAAAGGTTGATTTAGCAATTATACAAACTTCATCGAATATATTATATTAGGGTTTTATGGCTCTATTTATATATTCACTGCCAAACTTGATCCTTTACCGCGCCATCCATTACAGAGTCCAAACCACAGAAGCAGCCGCCATTGATGGCGGCAGAAGAAGGTGCCATGGCAGAGTCAAATTCCGAAGATCAAAAACCAGGGGAAGATAGGATTAGTAATCTACCGGATGATTTATTGCTCTACATTCTATCATTCGTACAAAGCAAAACATCAGTTCAAACAAGCATTCTCTCTTCCAGGTGGCGCCACTTCTGGAAGCGTCTCTACGTTCTCAAGTTATCCGATGACTCGTTTGAATTCAATGACAACTTTACCCCGTCCAATTCCAAACTATTCCAGGACTATCTCACCCTTGTCAATTTTTCTAAGGACTCTTTTGAATTCAATGACAATTTTATCCAATTCAATTCACGATTCAAGGAGGAAATCTCACGTCTCCATCTATCAATCGACTCTTTTGAATTTGCCAATTTTATCAAATTCTATTCTGAACGATTCAAGCACTTCAGAAGATTCTTCTATTTTGTCAACAGCCTAATCTATGTCCTCAGGCCCTACAATGTTGAGAAGATGCGCCTCTCATGTACTAAATCTCTCACTAAGAACAAGATGTGCACAGCCTCAATTGACGCTTGGATCCACTCAGCAATGGGACCTCTCCTCAAAGAGCTCGACATCACGCTCTACAATTTAGACAATTATTGCTTTGAGCTTTCGGAGAACCTTTCCAAATGTTTTAATCTGGTCTCCCTTAGGCAAGCACAATATTTTCATTTTTATATTTCTTTTTTATATGATTATCCTAACATTGGTTTTAACTCAATAGTCTCAAAGGATCATTGCGTTTGGATCGTCAACCACCCAAGTCTTTCTGTTTACCATCACTAAAGAAGTTGGAACTTGACATCTGTGCTATTAATGTGCCTTCCTTCAATGGCTTCCTCCATGGCTGTCCGTGTCTAGAAACTTTGGATCTTTGCTGGTATGACGAGGATTATGAGACATTTTATGTTCCACCTCTTTGCCTACCATCTTCTTTGAAGACCTTGAAAATTGTCCTTAAATATTTAAGTCATTTAGGGTTTACTCGTTTACCAAAGGTAGTCTTCTAATATTAGCAGTAATTACGATTTGATATATAAAAACAAAACATATGAAATTATAATATAAGATCTTTATCCATTAGTTTTCTACTCGCTGACATTAACATTACTATACTTGTGAACATAGCAGTTACTTGGCGGCGAGGTTACTCATACTCATTTCTATTGTTCAACATTTGACAATTTACTTTATCTAAATCTCAATCTTTTGTGGTTCAACTCGGATTCTATTATGAGCCTACTTCAAGAATGTCGTTCACTTGAAGTTCTTATAATTCAAAATGACAGTGAAGTTTTTAATGACAAAGAGGTATGTTTAGCTCTTAAATTTTATGTTATTTTTTCAAGTATGCGTGGGTCTTGATGTTGTGTTTTTTTGTTATATGCAGGAACAATCATCCTCACCAAAATGGGCCGCACAACTCAGTCTTCCTAGTTGTCTTGAATCACACCTGAAGTTTATTCAATTTAAAGGATATCGAGGATTTACGGATGAATTCTACTTTGTCGAATATATTTTGCAAAACGGATGTGTTTTGAAATCAATGATTATCGTTGATATTTCGACGGATCTAAAGAAAATGGTCGACACTCTTCATAGATTATTTGATATCCCGAAGGCCTCTAGAATGTGTCAACTTACATATATCTAAGTTATGCGTGTAGACTCAAATGACTATGAGACAAAAGTTTGTTCACCCTATCTTAATATGTTTTTCAATTTTATTTCCAGAACCTCTCCTTAGGTGTTAATCTTTAAATCTATTTTTTATTTTTAGTTTTTCTTTTTGTATATAACCATATTTTAATTACTTTGTATTCTATATAACTTTGCATTTTTTAAAGATCATTTAGTGATATTAATTTGGGAGCGGTTAATATTTTTGAAATTCCTTCACTACAAACTATGAAAATCAATTATCTTTCGGTGAACTGTTCTATTTAAATTGAATTTTAAGTGACTATTTTAATTATGTCCTACTGAAGTCCTGTAGGCACTTGGACATTTCGCCCATCCATAAGATGATGATAATGATGGCGAGTTCTTATAAACAGGTTAACACATCCTATATTTTTCTTAAATTATCAAAAGAATTTCTTTCATATGATGATAATGCACATGATGGTTTTTTAGTTGTAAGTTGTAAGATGTATTTTTTAACTTGTAAGTTTTCCAACCTGCTGCACAATACTACTTAGCAAGCTCAAGGCAGACTTTCATTTTCTCAGTATTAATTTTCAGGTTATTACATTTTGAGGTCAATTTGACATTATTTTCTGGCATGTAACAGTGCAGCATTGCTATAGCGCCGCTACAGCCTCAATTTGACATTATTTTGTACTAATTAGTGCATCGTTAAGTAATATTGATTTGTTCAAATTCAGCTTTGCTTTAGCGCTGCTATTTAGCAACATTGCATTCACACCTTCCTCATTTCTCTAACCTGTACTTAGTGTCTTGGTATTACATGAAATCTTCCATTCATATTCCCTTCCACCTCACCCTCTTGCTTATGTGTGCCATAAATCCACTGGTTGCACTGTATTTTTTCCTCACTCAGTATATTAATAAGTATGATGGCATCTATCACTAATCTGTTGATATTATTAGCTTCTATTAGGTGATACTGTAGTGCAATGACAAGCTGACACGGTTGCTAAGTGCTGTATGAACTAGTTCATTCTTTACTACTGATGTGATAGGCTTCTTAAATATGTGTATAGACGGTAGGGCATAATGGGAGAGGATAGAGGGAGTGGGCATGCAAGGTCAGAGAAAAAAATGTGCATATAAGGGAAGGCATGCCAAAGGAAAGGCAGGTTTGTTTTGGAGTGGAATTTGGGACTGAGTAGAGAGAGCCATTCTCATATCAGTACTGGGTATTCCCACAGTGCGAGTATCATTTCTGATAACTTTCAAATTCCATTGTTGAAAGGAGATTTATTCTCCATCCATTGTCATTAACCATTCCAGACATATGAAACATTTTTTCTTTTATTCAGTTTATTTTTCACTTAGACATGTTCACCACCTTAGAAAGTTAGTCATTCGGTAAATTTAAATCATTGGAAGGTTTCTTTTTCAGAGGGGCTGCATTCTCAGAGTGAAGAAATTGTTAGTTTTTAACGTGATCATCTCGTTAACGCGTCTGTTGAATTACTGCTCTTTCAGTTGGGTCTAGTATATTCTACTTGATTGGTTGGTTACTCATAACAGCCTTGGTCACTTTATGCCTTTTGTGTAGCAAGTTCATCTTGGATGCTTGAATGCATATTGAAATAAAAAAAAATGATGATATCTTTTATTTTTGGGCAGGTCAAGGCAGGATGACAAGTGGGAACATGATCTATATGATGATGATGAACAACCCCAGATCACCAGTATGGATTGATTCTGTTATTCTCATATGCAAGTATAAGTTACCACTATTGGATGCCAATAGTTCTTTTTTATGGGTTTTGACTGTTTGTTAATGGCTTGTGAAGATCGCAAAGTAACTAGTCAAGATCTTCGTCATAAGCTTCAAAGGAAAGGTCTTCAACCTGCAACTCAGAGTGGAAAAAGAACTGCTCCAAACATCCGAGATCTTCGCGAAAGATTATCGGGGACAATGAATTCACAACCTAAGAACTCCGATCCACCGAAGTCAAAAGTGATTGCTAAACCGAGCAGTAATAGTGTTGGTGCTGAGGCTCCTGTAGTCAAAAGACCAGCTAACCCAGCTCCTAAAAAGGCACGGAAGGTATTATTGTTGTAACTTTTTTAAGGTGTCCATTTAAATCTATTGTTTGATGTTTGTGATGTCACTCATAGTGCATGCCATGTTCCATTGTCCCTTTTTCCTTTACATGTACGTGTGCTGTTGCATTCCCCTTAAACTGGCCATGTCTTTTGTGATATGATATGCATGGATTTTTGTATTTAAGAATTGAACATAAAGAATATGTTAAATTTCTTCTCGTTTAGTGGTTGTTTAAAAGGGCATATTGATGTTGTACCAAATAAAAGAGGGCATATTGATGGTCAGCCAGTATAGTGCAATGAGTCTGGTTATGGAGTACATATAAAGTGCAACCTGATGATATAACTTAAAAGTTATAAGCTCCTGGCATGTAGGGTCCAAGGAAGGGTCTGATGGTTTGTGAAATTATTGTAGGTAGTCTTACCTTATATTTGCAAGGGACTTGAACATTTGTCCTTCTAATCGCATGGCAACAACTCCAACCATTATGCCAAGGCTCCATTCTTGTTAGAGAGTACAAATATTCTTGAAAATTACTAGTGTGCAGAGTATGCATATACTGTGAGTGAGGATTTATACATGAGTCAACATTGAAGCATTTAGCTCAAATAAGTCCTTCCAACTTCATTTGAGTACAATAGCTGAATTGTGCTTATTCCTAGAATGTCGTGAATTCAGAAGTCAAAACTAATACATTGATGAATTAATTACTATGAATGAAAACTATGTCAAATATAGTTTTGTATAATCACGAGTTTGTGCTGGAAAATATCGTATATCGTGAAAGAAAATGTAAGGTAGTCAAGTACTTGGCTAGTATTCAATCTACACAATATAGTTGGTTCTGATGTATACAATAAAGAGCTGGTTCATATACTTGTGGATATGAATAATACTCTTCAAATCAACATCAAGATAGTAGTAGTTACAGGTGCTTGGCTTTTAATGTGCATGTTGAAGGTCATTTTATTATGCTCAATCTTATTATATATTTCTCTGTTTTTTGGTCAAATATATATTTCTAAGTTTTATGTTTATTTATGTTATAAATTCTTATGTTCTCCTTAATAGATGGAACTTTGCTAATTTATATTCATAATAAGCAAAAGCCACTTCTTTCCAATTTTCTTAATAAAATTATTTTCTTTACTAAATAAAAGAAAATTAAAAGCATATTAATCTGCTATTTTTACAGGCTGAAACTACAGTGGATGATTTTTTGCTGACCATGGGTCTCGAAAAGTATCTCATAACTTTTCAAGCTGAAGAAGTATGTCATACGTCTGCTTATCTTCTCCATTAAAAAAGTTCATTATCTTAACCGGGTTTTTATTTTGACTGTCATGAGTTAATATTCTATGTAAAACCTGTACTTTTTTTTTCTCAGGTTGATATGGCAACTCTCAAACATATGAATGATGAGGACCTCAAGGCCATGGGTATACCAATGGTATGCTTCAATCTAGTGCTGGACTCTATGTTCTATTTTATTTCCTTCTGTTTTATTCAGTAATATTTTGAAGATCCTAGGGTAATGTCACTTGTGTTTTCTTTCTCTTTTGACTATAATACCATGTTCTTAGAAGTTTTTTGTGTGATTATGATATGATAGTTTGTACTTAATAACTATATATTAACATTGAAAACAACTTCTACATAGATATTGAATCATACTTCACCACTCTGTCACGATGTAAGCATGTTTTATATAATAATATTATGATGTGAAAAGATGGTCAAAATATGATTAGATTTTGTGTTTTATATATTTATATTGTTGCTGTATAGTTATTAACCAATAATATCTTCATGTCACAATTGCATTTACCTTGCTTTGAGATAAGCTAAACATACTCTTAGGTTTGATCTGTGATCCATTTGGTAAGAGTTGTGTTATTTGAACACCAAATTTTTGACACCGTATACCTCTCTCTTATACCTCAATCTCTATCACTTGCCTACTTTTTGATCTCGTAAACTTTCATGGATTTCAAAAATACACCAATACATACAAAAAATACAAATGGACTCTGAATGGTGTCCCAATTTTTGATGTTCAAATATGACTTCTGATTTGCTGATACTTTTTTATATTTTGTTAAAAACACATTGTAATTATGCTTTATTGGTTCTAGGGGCCAAGAAAGAAGATACTTTTAGCATTGGAGTCAAAACTCTGACACTTAGTGTTGGAATTGATGTGGTTAGCTGTGGATGGACCTGGTAGTTGCAGACAAATGGGGGAAGATGGATTAGCATCTCAAAACTAAATGTAATTGCATGTCACTTAATATTTTCTTTATCTTGTTTTAGTTCCCCTATTTGTTAGACATGAATCAGTTTGTTTTGTAGTTTATTTGGCATAATCCTTCAATCCCCTAGATCTTTTAATTGTACTTAAATATTAATGGGTTACAAAGTAGTTTGCCTTTTGAATTTGTCCATGGTTTAACATTAAACACTTGACACTTTAGTGGAACTGAAATTTTCCAATTTTACATAGTTTAAAAACTTCTCTTGGATGCCTCCAGTGCGAGTGCGAATGGTGTAACACTAAGAAGATACTTATATTTTAGTTGCACAATTCAACTCTTCTAATTCTAAAACAGGGGACCCTGCATAAGATTTTTTTTTAGTTATTAAAAATTTAGTAGTTGATAATTGGTTGTATGATAGTTTCTCGTTGGTAAATCTTTAGATAAATTTGAAGCTCTTTGATTTGATGGTTTATGATGGGAAACAACAGTGGAATATCAATTTGATCCATACACTTGTTGGAGTAGAAGAAGCGGAAAAAGTTCTAAAAAACACCCTTATTAGAAACTGTTCAGGTTGACAAAATGGTGTGAAGATTTGGAAAGAATTATATGTTTTCAGTTTGTAGTTTCTATTGTTACTGTATAGATGTT